GAATAATACACTTCTCTTCAGTTTTTTTCGCATGCCCATAGATCAACTTAAAGTTGGGACTATGTTTCTATGAATTAGGTAGCTCCTTACATTATGACATTTCCTGCAAACCAGGTGTTCTATATTGATGAGGAGGGGGAGTCTAAATGGACTTCTATATCATTAACATGTATTGAAAAAGGGTCCCCAAAATGAAAAATCCAATTCATGTTGCGCTGAGCCAGGACCAGTTGACGTTGGAACAGGACATCGAGAGGTTGTCCTGGCATGGATCTGTGCCTTACACAAAATTGTGTACCCGTACCGTAATTGTTGTGCTAACCAGTCAATTTATGGATTAATTTCGACTGATTAGCATAACAGATTACCATGGAGGGCAACATCACAGATTTCGTGATACACCCCGGTCAAGGCCATTCACACATAATGTGATTGTTGCGCATCAATGCAAGGTTAACGCTATGCTTAACTACAAACCTTATTGTTTTCATCAAGAAAGGCTGCTACTTGGCTTGTTTGATTGTGGGTTAAAGCATATCGCTGTGCTTAAAGATAGAGACTTGACTCGGATTGCCACAACTACACCAAGGCAACGTAATCGTGCACTACCCTTGCTATCATATGAACATAAACCATCAATTGGACTAGTGCCATCATTTCAAGGATCGATAACATGTAGCCGTGCAGAGGTAAACTCGCTCCTAGCTGAAACATATTTTAATATTAATGAGAATTATATATTGCCTAAGTCATGCACTTTACTGTTACTCAGGTTCACCAAGGAGGATGAAACGGAGCAGCAAGATCAGATCAGTGCATTACAAAACGCACCAGCAAAAACGGAGCAGTTCAGTGCAAAACGGACCAGCCCAGTGAAAAACGAACCAATGAAATGGACTTTCCAATAAAGAGTAATGGACAAATCATTGAAGACCGCTCATAAGACAAACAGACGTGCGAGTCCTCTTGGGAATTCACTTATGGTGACTTTTGACCTAGCTTATGTCTAGTAAATTCCCAAGACATTTCATTCCCAACTAGGAGGGTTGTTCTTAGTATAAATATCCTATATGTTTTATCATTTGGAAGACTTTTGACAAATGAGAGTTCACTTGTGTGCTAACAAATTCACAGAGAGATCCTTTGCTCCTGTTATTTCCTTGTGAGATTACAGAAACGACATTCGACGCCCCCCTAATTGGTGCTCCTGGTCCCTTCGAGGTTTTTCCTTGATTGATTCCAGGTTGTGTTGGTTGGTAACTTAGAGTGTGGTTGGGCGAACCCTCAATTCAGGTTGCCGTAATAGAGACGGTGGTTGGCTTCGAGTACGATCGTCAGGTTGCACTGTTATCTTGGCTGTTTGCAGCTAAGTTATCTTGGTCTCTTTGAGGCTAGTTATCGGTTCTTGATCCTACGCCGTAAAGATCGGGACATCACCCCTACTTGGGTCGTATCACTTAGTCAACCAAATCGTCAATCTGAATCGCACATGCTTTCTTTTTCTTGCATTCTCTGTTAATTCATGCCTTAATTTCTTTGTTGATTTGCTGCAAATTTTTTTACTTCTCTTCAAATAAGCTTTCACCTCTAAAACTGTAGTCAGTTCGAAACAAGAAAAATATATAGACCTATCTTAATGACTGTTCATGATCAAATTCAGAGTTTTGGTTTGCCAAATAGGAAAGCAGATAGATAGAGTAAACAATGCTTAATTGATATAAAGTGTTCAGCATTTTAGATCAATTAAACATAGTGGAAATTATTATTCTCTTAGTACGAATTCTACTGCTTGTAACAAATTTAAGAAGTGTCTTTACAATTGCTTCACTGATATCTAGACAATTTGAAAACAAAAATCTATGTGTCTCTGTTAGGCCTGGTTTAGTTCCCAAATTTTTTTCCCAAAAACATCACATCGAATCTTTGGACACATGCATGGAGCATTAAATATAGATTAAAGAAAAACTAATTGCAGAATTAGGGGGGAAATCGCGAGACGAATCTTTTGAGGCTAATTAGTCCATGATTAGCCATAAGTGTTACAGTAACCCACATGTGCTAATGACGGATTAATTAGGCTCAAAAGATTCGTCTCGTGGTTTCCAGGCGAGTTATGAAATTAGTTTTTTCATTCGTGTCCGAAAACCTCTTCCGACATCCGGTCAAACATCCGATATGACACCCAAAAATTTTCTTTTCGCGAACTAAACAGACCCTTACTTGATGTTTTAGAGTTCAAACCAATTTATGCTAACAAAAGTATGTATGGTTCCGAAGTTCTCCCGCAATATTTGAAGAAATGGTTATAAAGGAATTATTTTGTTGCTTACAGGGGAAGCTAACCATCTTGGAATTAAGCTTTGAATAATGGACGTTAACAACTATTGACCCACAAGAATATGGATATCTTTCATGGTTCAAATTGAATGTTTCAATTAATCAATTCTAGCCGTATTTGATGGGTGATTCGACCTCAGTTTGGACACCGATGGAATGTATGCATATATTATACTATTCCTCTTCAAGTTGGGTTGACTGGAAGAGTATGTTTTTTTTTTCACCATATTTGATCATAAACTATATAGTTTATGTGCATTTCTGCTGTGCTCTGGTATATAATTTTGTGGACTTGTAAGCTATAATATGGGCAGTGAAATGATTGTGCTATGCGTGTCCATTTTTCAAGGTATTTACACATGTACTTCAGAAGTAGTGTTTTGCCTATCCATAAACCAAATGCACAATGAGAATAATTGTGTACTATTGAGGTATTCATCCTTGGACAGAGCTGGCAGATAAACTAACAGTCATATATGTTGATTAGCTTAAATCGGATTATTGTTTTTATCTGTTGGTTGTAGATTGTTACGGCGAGAGGATGGTTCTACAGTTGCTTATTTTAGAGGGAATCCGTTGCAAAAACTAAACTTGTGGAGCCACATGCAAAATTTTGTTCAAATGAAGTGAGTAGTGAAACTTAGTTTTTTTAAATGGTAGTGAAACAAAAGGACCAACGAGAGCTTTTGCTTATTTGTCACTTTCATTTGTCAATTATGTTTCATGTAAACATCAATGGTTTGAAATAAGTTTATTGCTTATAACAATAAATGGAATTGAAGTGATAATTTTGATATAAACGTGCATTACACGTGCACGGTTACTAGTTCGACACAAAGTTCAGCTTTGGTTGGTTGTCCAGTGTCAGCGGTTTCACAGTCCAGCCATTTATTTGAATAATTAAATAACCTAGCTAAGAACATAGCTATCAAGCCTTGTAATTTCTAGGCTAAGTTAATAATTGCATATTTCTGCTCATATCAATTGTCAAACCCAAAGCCAACCCAACAGAGGAGAATATGAAATAGGTCAGGGAACAGAGTTACCATATGCATAAAATTCAAGGGGAATTAAGTATTTCCTTCTATTTTTCCTAGTATTTCTTATTTGTCCCTATATTCATTGAGTATATACAATTTGTTCATTCATTCCTTAAAATTGAGGGTATGTTATTCCTTATATTTTTGAACACAAATATCATATACCTTAATTGATTATTAAGTATTCATGTCTTTTTATTTTTCACAAAACAAACGAGACTGTTTATTCAAAGAGGACTTTACTCTACTTTTGCATAGAGTAAAAAGACAAGATATCTCCATTTGGCAGTCATAGATTGATCAACTGTAATTGATGCTCCCCCTGTAAATCTCTCTTGTAAATATTCTCTATATATTTTTTTAATATATCACAGTAGGAGCCTCTCCTGTTGTTTTACTGGTAAAAAATTTTTAACTCTTTCCCCTCCCTTCTTTTCTATCATCTTGATCATACCAGACCATCATATGTTCCCACCATTAGTCTCTAGAGGTTCATTATATCATACTTCTATGTTTATTGCCACTTTATCGAGGTCTACATGACATAAGAACCGATTACGGGGACATTGATGAAGAGGTCGCATGAAATAGATTAGGCAACTACGTTGTCCATAGAAGATACTACAATCACTTTGGCACGAGGATCAAGACACTAGTTGTAGGCTTATAGCCCACAATGACGACCATACTATGAGGATAATGGGGCAATTCAAAAAGCATTGTCATTGCTTGTACTCGCTAGCTACTAACCACGCTTATTGTAGCCTGATCACCACTATTGGTCCCTGTTGGAATAGGAGAGAAAAAGAGAAGTAGAGAGAATGAGGAGAACGGACAATCCAATTATTGTAATATCTATGATTTTAACTAAAAAGAAAAAGGCAAGTTTTTTTTATATTCGGTGCTAGTTGTACGGAATATTTTAAAGGGGCGAATGATAAATTAAGTAATACGAAAACAGAATCATCATATAGACCTCACCAAAACAGGAGCACGTAATTACTTTCCCCATCCATCAACCATAGTAGTCTTCCACGGTGGAAATGTTTGGGTTGAGAACATATGGCCGAGCACAATATAGATCCTGTTCGTTTCTTCTGCAAGCATATGATTAAAGTTTAGATACTCGTGGCACGCTTTTCAAACTGCTAAACGATGTGTTCCGTGTGAAAGCTTTTTATATGAAAGTTGCTCTAAAATATCAGATTAATCCATTTTTCAAGTTTGTAATAATTAAAACTCAATTAATCACACGTTATTACCACCTCGTTGGTGTGAAACACTTAATCTTTATCTCATCTTCAGGAGATTCAAACACCACCATATTACCTAAAAATCATGTACATGGTGATCAAAGATGCTCTTCATTACACATCAAACACGCAGCTAAATAGGGGCGAATCTTTATTATTTATAGCGAGCGTGAGTGGTTACGGTATGCAATTCCTTTCATCAGCACAGTGTGAGCATCACGCGTCCCCGTCCCGTCGGCGCACCAGCACAGCCACAGGCTGGCCCAGAGAGGGTGCCTCAACTGTCGGCGCCTGCACATCTGGACCGTCCATCGCGGCGATCGGACGGCCACCCGTCCCGCAACCCCGCCCCGCGTCGCCTATACAAGACGTCCCACCCCCCCCCCCCCGTACGCTCCTCCCCCATTTCGAACGGATCCGGGCGCAGGGTGCGAGTGCGTGAGGCCCAATCCCCAAATCCCCCCCCCCCCTCGCCGCCGCCGCCGCCCGTCTGCACGCAGGCCTCCTCGTCGGTGAGGTCCCCCCGCTGATCCGTCTCCCTCCCCCCCTTCCTGTTGATCCCTGCGCTGTGGAGTGGCCCGGATCTTCCTGCGAGATCCCGTCGCCCCCACTTTCTTTGTTTTTTTATTTTTTTACTTTTTCTCGGGTGTTCGGCGCGGGCAATGCTGGATCGGTGGCGGATTTCGCTCGCCGTAGGTAGCGCACGGCGTGATCCGTTCGTCTGTAGGGTCGTTTCCGCCCACCGTGCTTTTGGGCGGTTGTTTGTGCTGCGTCTGTGCGTTCCTGGTAGGTAGGAATTGCGTGGAGAGCATTAGCGAGGAGTGGAATGTATGTTCGAGATTCGGCTGCGGAAGCTAACTTTGTGGGACGATTTCTGATGGGTCCTTGTATGGTCTGTGGCTGTGTGATGTGTAGAATTGTGGATTTTGTTTTAGGCCTTTGGAAGAGGATGCCACGATCTGTTTTGTTTAGTTTTTCGGTCCGATTGGACTGGATTTCCTGAATCATTCTGTGCTGATCTCATCCCTTTGATGAAACATAGTGATGTACGTCAGTATTTGCAACGGTGTGGTCGTTCAGATGAGCCTGATCTTGCAGTTAGATTTGAATATCTAGTAAGCGTGACATGAACGTCTTAATAAACGTCACATGAGCGTCACCTACTGTTTTCTAGCGGCATAGACGCCTAGTGGAGACGGAAGATCTTTCTTTATTGGTTATCTTGTTGTTTTGCACAAATTACTTGGTAGTGATGTTGCTGTCTGTGTACTTATAGACAATAGAAAGTTGCTTTCAAATGTAATACTTCACAATGTTGAGCAGTAAACGCACCAGAGCGTAAAGGTTCTTGTGTTGTTTATACTTCATGAATAGCAAACTACCATCTAGGTGCTTATAGCCACCTTTTATGCTTGACGTGTAAGTTGGAAATTGATGGTTCATACAACATTTTCTCTTAACACGAGAAAAGTTATTTCTCTTAACAATAGAAAGTTAGTACACAAGGTAAGTTTAGCTGCTGCATGCTTGCTGTGTTCTATTAGTAAGAACTAATCTCTTTATAGCTTGCTACGGAACATATACAGATTCACAGAACATTTTTAACAAGTTAAGAAGCATATACACTTGCGTGCTTGAAGCATTGTCCTTTTTGTGTTGATAATTTCTGCTATGAATTAAGTATTCATCATCTTTATAGCTGTTTTTTTTTTAATTTTCTCACTAGGTAAATTCAAACTTAACCAAGGAAAATAGCTTGGTGATTTTTTTATTGGTTTATTCTAATAATTTGGTCAATCGTACTGTTGTTTTTGTTAGAGTTCTGCTCTATGCTATCTTGCATGATTAGAAATCTCACTGCACACTGGAGCTCCCAATGATTTGAGCACATGCTACTATATGTTGCTGGGCAGAAAATGGTTGAACATTAGAACAAGAGTTAGAATGGAAAGCAACAGGAATTAGTCTTGTACTCTGGTTACCATCCTCTTGTTTCAGTCCAATAAAAATGTAAAGTAGTGAAAGAATTTATCTTTCTTGGATGGAGAATGTGCCACATCATCAAAATACTAATAGCCATCGGGTGCAGCTTGAAAACGAAACTACCGTTTGATATAGAACCAGTACATCCTAGTTTGGCTGAAAAACTTTTTATTTCTTCAGAAGCATAAGTTCATCAAAGTATCAAAAACTTTATGATCATTATCATGTTTCATAAGTTGAACTCAGGTCAACTTTGTTTTGTCTTTCCTTGCAGTACTGAAAATTTGAGTTTTAATATTTTTGCCTTAAATTTCTGCTCAGCTTCACTTCATCAACAATCAAGATGAGTCGTGGTGGGAGTGCCGGTGGTGGCCAAAGTTCTCTGGGTTACCTTTTTGGAGGCAATGAGGCCCCTAAGCCAGCTGCTAAACCAGCACCTGCAGCTGCACCTGCACCAGCGCCAGCACCAGCACCAGCTGCGGCTGTGGCTGCTCCTGCTGAGAAACCATCACCTGCAAAGGCTGATGCCACCAAGCAGATTCCAGCTGGGATTCAGGGCAGCCGGAGCAATAACAACTACCATAGAGCTGATGGCCAGAACACTGGAAACTTTCTTACGGTACGGTTCTTTCCTTTTATCCACATCAGAATTACAGTTTATTTGTAATGGGTCAAGGCATTTCAGGATTCAGAACTTGTAAGTTCTGGCCAACAGTTAGTCAAACAATATGCAAGTTTAGTGTCACAAATGTGGTACCATTAGATATTTTTCTGGAAGTAACTTCTTGTTGGCAATATATTTGAAAAAAATATTATACATCAACTTTCAAATTGGTTTTGTTATTATCAATATATACTTTCAGTAAGCTCAGTTCTTTAATTGCTGGGCATCTTTTTTATAATACTATTGAATGAATTGGCTAGTTTCCACATCCAGAATGGACAATTGAGTAATTCTTGATCATTTTAGCCTTTAGTCCTGAATATTGCTAATTTCACATGCTGATCTTTATGCTGCAAATCGAAGTTATGCATGAGGTATGATTTGGACACTTGATTGTCCTTGTAAACCATCTCTCTTCCTTTTGGGCATATGTTACGTATGTCTGCTGGTAAATTGTGAATGCTTGGTTGGTGTCTGGTAAGAAAGGATCAGTCTACACTGAGATAGAAACATAGTTACTTATCCACTATTTGCAGTATGAGATTGAATAATTTCTGATTCATGGGGCTTACTTATAGTTCTCTCTGGCAATTTCATTGTCATTTCGCAGGATCGCCCTTCGACCAAGGTCCATGCTGCCCCTGGTGGTGGATCTTCCCTGGGCTACCTCTTTGGTGGAAACTGAAGGAGTGATCCTGGTGCACTGTAGCACCGGATGAAGAAGGAAGTCTACCGCTATCCTTGTTTATCAGAACTGGGAACCCCCATTGTTTTATCATTCTCTATGCATGTCCCGTACCTATGACTCCGTGGCAAACACCCTGCCTGGGATCATGATCCTGTCGCTTAAATTTCGAGGCAAATCGTATGCCTGAATCTTCCAAAATTATCGTGTGCCTGTGCCTTGGTTTCAGTCACGTTCATGTCTATGTTTTTGCTCAGGATTATATGTATGGTAGTAATCGTTATCTGGATGTGCGCACAATCATCTGCACCTCCCTGTGACATTCTTTTTTGAAGGCCTACCAGTAAACAGCACAGATTGCCGGCTGTATGACAATGATATGATAGGAGAGCTGGCCTTAGAAGAAAACGGTGAGTGCGAATTCTTATTGTAGTAGTCGTTTGAAGAAGGAAATGGGTGTTACCTGGACATACTTTCTTCGTCTCAAAATATAAATAATTTTAATTGAATATGACATATCTTAATATTATAAATAATAATATTATAAATAAGACAGGAAGATTCAGATTAATAATATTAAGATGTGTTTTATCCAATCAAAATTATTTATATTTTGGGATAGAAATCAGTTAAAATCATTTATATTTATATTGAGATAGAGAGAGTAAGTGGTGTTTTTTTAAAAAAAAAACACTTGGGGCTCAGAAGTGAGTGCAGGCTAGTCATGGTACTCCTTTTATTTCATAAAAAATAATCATTTTATTTCATAAAAAATAATCTTGATATGATGTGACATTTTCTACTAAGTCTGACTAGAAGTTATCTAGATTTATAATACTATAATATATCACATTATATTTAGATTTAATTTTAATGAAACGAGTCAGCCTCGTTTGGTAAACTCTAGCTCTCATCTCCAACTTATCTGAAGCTGATCCTCTGTTTTTGGGAGTGGAGTTAGCAGAGCTATTCCTTTAAAAAAAATACAAAGGTGAAACTGAATTTTTTTAACATATTTACATAAAAATGCCACTTAACCATCCCAAGACAACTCCTTACCCCTCTCTCTCGCGCGCGACTGGCGGGCAGGCAGTGCGTGGCTGATGGCGCGTGCGGGGACGGCGTATGGCCGACGCGGGGTAGGTGAGGACAGCGCGTGGCCTGCCGCTGGCGACGCACACGGGACAGCAACCTAGGGCTTCACGAGGTATTATGGATTGTTTTTTTTCCATTTTTTTTTCCGAATACTAGGCAAACACTTTTTAGTTGGTCTCCCACATAAGAGTTTAGAGTTAGGATTTGGAATTTAAAGCCCAACCAAACGAAGCGAGTAGACATGTAGCAGCAGCAGAATTACATCCTCTGCGACGTGGACCTAGAAAACAAGTACTAGAACTGTAGAAGTAGCGACAATGTACATTTCCTTCATGCAAGACAGCAAGAGTCAGCGGCTCAACGCCGCTCGACACATCGGCCAGCTCCGGCCTGCGCCGCCGCCTCGCTCTGCGATGCTGACAGCTGATTGTGTGCCCGTGGGGCCCACCTACCTTCAAACAGGATCAACTGCACCCTCTACGTTCTAAAATAAAAAATGAGTGAATTTCACGTAACTACATATATTTTAGGTAAATTATCACAATACTACATATTCAATATGATGTATTATAAAATTATAGATTTAACAAAAAAATATATTATAGAACTACAAATTTAAGATGGAATATTACAAAACTACACATTTAGTAATAAAGTTATCACAAAATTATAGGTTTTACATCAATATAATCACAAAATTTGGACATTTATAACTCAAACATAATATTAGAGCTAAGGATTTAAACCCAAAATCCATAATTTTGTGATAATTTTATTATTAAATTCGTAGTGTTGTGATACTTGGCCTTAAACATGTAGTTTTGGGATAAATTTATTATTAAATCTATAATTTTATGATAATTTGGTTCGAGTATTTGTGAAATTTACTCTAAAACAATTCATATAGCTGAAACATTTTTACCTCTCCCTAATCAACGAATAAGAAATGAACGTAACCTTATAAAACTAATCATTTCATATTATAAGACTTTCTAGCATTACCCATATTTCATATTATAAGACTTTCTAGCATTACCCACATTTCATATTAACCGTCTATCATTTTAACAAATGACAAAAAAATAGCACCTATATTTTTCCTACGTGGAAGTGTGCAAACATTCGTTCCAATTAAAAATATCAAAATACAGGATTAAAGTGACCTATTTACATATATCTAAAAGTAATTTACAACACATATATATATATATATATATATATATCAAAATACATGATTAAAGTGGTCTACCACCTTAAATCCCAAGAATTAAAAAACAACCGTAAGAATAATTGTTTGGATGGAATGCAGAAACAACATATGAAGTAGAAAAGAGATATAGACAAACAATTATTTTTCAAGGAATGAATATTTAGATGGAACGCATGAAAAACATAGAAAGCAGAAGAGAGAGAAACAGACACAAATGATTTTTCATGAGAGATTGAAATTCAAGTTAGAATTCCTCCAAAATTATGTTTTGTGTCAATCCAAAGAAATTTTATAGGATTTGTATATGGCTATTCCTTTTATCCAAATAACCACGTAGGAAAATTTTTATAGGATTGAATTCCTCTAAAATTTCTTTGTTACAATTGAGACCTAAATAGTGCGGCATTTTGCCCTAAGAAGTAGTATCTCTTTATCCAACCCCAATTTTATACCTTTTTAATGAGTTATTTTCGTCTCTTTGTCTCACTACTGTACTTATTATTTTGGATGCTACGCTAGGAACTTTCTTTTACGTAGGGAGTAGTACCTCTGTCCTAAAATAAACAAAAACATGAGTTTCCGTGTTAAACTTTAACCGCCTGTCTTATTTATTTAGTTTTAAAAAAATATTAAAAAAATAAGTCACGCACAAAATAATATTCATATTTTATAATCAAATAACAATAAAAAATACTAATCATAAAAAAAATTTACTCCCTCCATTCCAAAATATAATTCTCAACCACTCATAACACAAAGACCAAGAAAATATTTAATCACCTTCTTGGTTAGATCACCTTGACTCATCCAAGCAATGTGATAGGGAGATTTAATGGTATAGGATTTAAAACAAATCAATTTTATTGGACCATGAGGTGCTAATTAATGTATGCATGCATACACGTCTTATATGGAGTATGAGACATGAGAGAAAAGTGGTTATGCCTTATATTTTAGGATGAAGAGAGTAAATAAGACAAAGGATTAAATTTGGACACGTAAACTTATAACTATGTTTATTTCGGGAGGGAGGAGACGTCTAGACCTATAGCTGGGCTCCATGCAGTCTCGTTACCTGAAAAACTGAACGGCAACTCATCGGACGGTTAGGCAGAAGATTTTTTGAAAGATCATCAATTTGGCGATTGCTATTGCTGCAACGTACGTAACGGCAGTGATTACGCCTGCATTTAGTTTCGATCGTCATTTGAGCAGGAGTAATGATTTCAATGGACGGTTACATAATGATCAAGTGGTAGAGGAAGAGGCATGCATCAATTTTTTTTAAGACAATAGAAACGTTTTTTTCAAATGGACAATATAAGTATTTATATGTGCGCGTTAAAATAAAACCGCCAATTTCTCTTCTACACTAGCGGAATGCTTGTGTTTTTACCTGCTAAATTCCAACAAATTTATATTAAAATCTATCACTAGATGTCAGTGTGCATACAATGCAAAATTATATACAAGAAAATTCTTTGAATAAAGCACAATGCTACTCCCTCCGTTTTATATTATAAGTCGATTGTCTTTACTCTTAATCAAACTTCTTAAAGTTTTCCTCGCAAAAAAAACTTCTTAATGTTTAACCAAATTTGTAACAAAATTTTAGTAACATTTTCCAATACAAGATAAACTTTGTATCAAATACTATTCAATGTTAAATTTAATAAGACTAGTTTGGTGCCACAGGTATTGCTAATTTTATCTATAAATTTAGTCAAACATATATAATTTTGACTAAGAAAAAATAAATAATTTATAATCAAAATATAAACGATTTGTATCAAAACTATTTATAATTGAAAAAAGAAGGTAGGTGTAAATGAAAAGACACCACAAATCACCAGCTCATCCTTTCAAGACTTGGGTATGGATCTTGGCTGTGTTCGGACCTTCCAGTTTACGACCCATCTCGGTCGTTTTCCATGCGCAAGCTTTTTAAACTAATAAACGGTGTATTTTTTTTACAAAAAGTTTCTATACGAAAGTTGCTTAAAAAAATTAAATTAATCTATTTTTGAAATTTTTTTATTAATACTTAATTAATCACGTGTTAATGAACCGCTCCGTTTTTCGTGTAGAGGAGATGTTGTTTTTTCGAAAAGAGAAGGGCAAATAACACTTTTACGTTGTGTTTTGATGTTGAAATTGAGAACTAATTCTTACACATGTAAAACAAATTGATTCATTAGCACATAATTAATTAAATATTAGCTTTTAAAAAAAATAGATTAATATGATTTTTTAAAAGAAATTTTTGTATGGATTTTTTTAAAAATGAACACCGTTTAATACTTTATCCCAAGGAAAGAACTCTTGCTGCCAAACAAAGAGCCGTACTCTATCCCATAAAACAAAGTGAACAACACGTTTATTTTTCACAGACAAACTAATTTAGTAAATTTCATGGCAAATTGCTACTATCCGAGACCTTTTTTTCTTTTTTGCCTCTTCAAAGCCATTTTTTAAAAAATGAAAATTTAAAACCTTTTTTCTTCAATGATAAATCTGTACATCCACCGTCCAAAATAGATACTACTATTAGCAGTAAATTTGAATACAGTTTTGTTTTGTTGTCTAGATTCAGGGATTGAAGCGGGCCGACCTGCAAGTTCACTTATAGATCAAATAGATAATAACTTATGAATTTTCACGTCGTGGTCCGGCTTGCCATATTCAGAGATGCAAGTGTGGATCCATAAACTTATTTATAGATTAAATTAATATATTACCCACTAATTTTACCTATAAGCAGGTTCACGGACAAACCCGCTTACACTCCTATCTGGATTTGATTTTTTTAAACAAAGAGAGTATGCAAGAGAAAAGTCTATATCTACCAACCTTACCAAATTTTAGTAAAATTACAAAAAAAGTGGCTACATTTAGTTTAGCATAGTGGCTACCAATTTTTTTTTTTCATCAAAGTGAACAGGCCCTTTGTTACTCGAGACAGTGCACAAGCACAACCCTCTCGCTATTTAAACCCTCCAATCTCCCCTTCCCACGCCCGCACCCTCCTGCCTCCCCCCAACATTCTCACACGCCATGGATGCCACTCTCGGCGCCTCCACTACCCATGGCTACCTCCTCCTCCTCCCGGCCAACTCCACCACCTTCTTCTCCCCGCTCCTCGCTGCCCTCCTCGCCGTCACCTCGCTGCTCTGGCTCGTCCCGGGCGGCCCCGCGTGGGCGCTCTCCCGCTGCCGCCGGCCCCCGCCCGGCGCGCCGGGCGCGCTCGCCGCGCTCGCCGGCCCCGCCGCGCACCGCGCGCTCGCGGCCATGTCGAGGTCCGTGCCTGGCGGCGCCGCCCTGGCGTCCTTCTCCGTCGGCCTCACGCGTTTCGTCGTGGCCAGCCGCCCCGACACGGCGCGGGAGCTCCTGTCCAGCGCCGCGTTCGCCGACCGCCCCGTGAAGGACGCGGCGCGGGGTTTGCTCTTCCACCGCGCCATGGGGTTCGCGCCCTCCGGCGACTACTGGCGCGCGCTCCGCCGCGTCAGCGCCAACCACCTCTTCACCCCTCGCCGCGTCGCCGCCTCGGCCCCGCGACGCCTCGCCATCGGCGAGCGCATGCTAGACCGCCTGTCCGCCCTCGCCGGCGGCGAGATCGGCATGAGGCGCGTGCTCCACGCGGCGTCCCTGGACCACGTCATGGACACCGTCTTCGGGACGCGCTACGACGGCGACAGCCAGGAGGGCGCCGAGCTCGAGGCCATGGTGAAGGAAGGGTACGACCTCCTCGGGATGTTCAACTGGGGAGACCACCTGCCGCTGCTCAAATGGCTCGACCTGCAAGGCGTGAGGAGGAGGTGCAGGACGCTGGTGCAACGAGTCGACGTGTTCGTCCGAAGCATCATCGACGAGCACAGGCAGAGGAAGCGCCGCACCGGCGGCAATGGCGGAGGCGAGGAGCTCCCCGGCGACTTCGTCGACGTGTTGCTCGGGTTGCAGGGGGAGGAGAAGATGACGGAGTCCGACATGGTCGCCGTTCTCTGGGTAACCAAGGATCCATCTGACATGCATGCATCTATTCGATCGATCTTGTGCATTGCGATCAACGGATTCATGGATATATTTGATCTTGCGCGCGTGCAGGAGATGATCTTTCGGGGGACGGACACGGTGGCGATTCTGCTGGAATGGATCATGGCGAGGATGGTGCTGCACCCGGACATCCAGGCGAAGGCGCAGGCGGAGCTCGACGCCGTCGTCGGCCGCGGGCGCGCCGTGTCGGACGGCGACGTCGCCGGCCTGCGCTACCTCCAGTGCGTCGTGAAGGAGGCGCTCCGCGTGCACCCGCCGGGCCCGCTCCTGTCGTGGGCGCGCCTCGCCGTGCGCGACGCGCACGTCGGCGGCCACGTGGTCCCCGCGGGCACCACGGCCATGGTCAACATGTGGGCCATCGCGCACGACCCGGAGCTCTGGCCGGAGCCCGACGAGTTCCGGCCGGAGCGGTTCGCGGAGGAGGACGTCAGCGTGCTCGGCGGCGACCTCCGCCTCGCGCCGTTCGGCGCGGGGCGGCGCGCCTGCCCGGGCAAGACGCTCGCGCTCGCCACCGTCCACCTCTGGCTCGCGCAGCTGCTGCACCGCTTCGAGTGGGCACCGGTCGGCGGCGGCGTCCACTTGTTGGAGCGCCTGAACATGTCGCTGGAGATGGAGAAGCCTCTCGTGTGCAAGGCTAAACCTAGGTGGTGATGATCAAGGAGTATGGGGCTGTTTGGTTGGTTGCTGCCCTGAGTAACATAACATGCCTGAAATTTCTGTGCGCCTGAGTGGCATGTGAGAAGACCAATGCATCTAACCTGGTCAGGCAGCTTGAGTATATGCTTGTTTGGTTGGTTGTTGCTGCCTGAGAAACAAATATGCAATTACGCCTTTAATCATTACACAGCTAAATCAAGTATTAATGGGCCGTTACAAATCTTGCCACAAATTGCATCTGAACCTCCTACCAAGATCCATTTATGACCCAACTTCCCATGTACAAGCACAAATCTTGCATACATAACGAGGATAAAAATCTAGGAAAAAAAAGCAGGGAAAAAGAGAGAGGAGAACGCAATCGAAGAGTCAAATAGATCCCAAATCCGTGCATCAGGAGCGCAACCTTCAGATGATTCTGTCCAGATGTGCAAATGCATCTGGCAACCTGCAAATCGATCTGCTTCGCACGAAAGGCAGCCTGGGCAGCATCTAGCATGGGCGATGCTGCTATGCTGGGATCCGGCAAGATGGCGACGACTTCACACGCCGGCGGGAGCAGCAACACAGCTTTGCAGGGATCCGGCAAGACGGTGGCGGCTTCGCACGCCGGCGAGAGCAGCACGGCTTCGCAGGGATTACGAAAGACGGCGGGCGGCGGCGGCTTCGCACACCGGCGGAAGCAGCGCAGCTTCGCTCCTGGAATCTACGTCGCGTGGCCGCCTCCGAGAAAGATTAGGATTAAGATGGTAAGTATGTATCGCTGTTGCTGCCTGGAGCTCAGGCGATCGATTTCGGTCGCCTGGCTCAGGCTAATGACGGGAAGGGCTGCAGGCCAGGCGAAGGGTTTGGGATCTGAGGGCACCAACCAAACAAGACCAGGCTAGCTTCAGGTCAGGTATTTTCCTCTCAGGTAACGACCAAACAGCCCCTATATGCATTTGGTCTCTCTCTAGGGCTGCATGGATTATATTATCGCTTTTGCTTTGATTTGGTTTCGGAGATCGAGAGATTTTGTACATTTTGATATGCATGCACGGTTCTACTAGCACAATATGAATATGTTTGTCATCTGATGAGATAATTAAGCTTGACCCAGGTGAATTAAGTGCATGAAGTACTGTGGCACATACTCTCTTCGGGCTGATAATACTTATCGTTTTAGATAAATGTGAAGTCAAACTTTACAATCTTTGATTATGAATCATTTTTAAAATATTTATCTTTCAAATATGGTGATTATTACATGTATAGATTAGTCGTAAAAGGTACTTTAATAAATCATATGTTTGTTAACACTTTTATACATATTATAATGAAAAATAATGGTCGTGCACTCGTGCTCTTGTCGAAAACGATAAGTATTATCAACCTGCAGGGAGTAGTTAAGTTATGTGGGTGTTTGAGGTTACCATAAAAATATATGGAAATGTTTGTTGATACTGAGGGCATTTCAATATGCTTAATGTTTTTTTTTTTGGTTTTGAGGTTTGATGCTTCTCACTGTTTGTTTTGAGATTGATGATGTTGTTGTTAATGCAAATGACACAGAGAGATCTTGAATAAAAGAAATGGTGTTCCTCTGAAACCACTCTACTGGCATATCTCGGGAAAAGATATCCTCAGAAGCAATTGTTCATTTTAGCGGATTATACACGATCGAGTAAAATTAAATGATGTTCCTCTGAAACAACTGTACTGCCGTTATACATGAGTTCAAAATTCTCCTCAGAAGCAACCGTGGACTTTATCTCATGTACAATTAATGGCTACCATGTACATTAACCAAACACAACTCAAAGAGTGATCTGATTTCAAATATAATTTGTTCTCACAAGAGTTAAGAGAATTGTTAGAATCCAAGAGAACATACATATGTATAAAGGACACAACATGACATTTGATACTTCCTCTATCCACAAAAGTTACATCTATTTCAGATTTGAGTTTTTTCAAATAAGTTGTTTCTATTTGTAGTATTTATGCATTCAAGACTTAAATGAAGAGATAAATTAAATGTTTTATTATAACCCAAAGAGTCATCTAAATACTCATTGGTTGTATGCTTGCATTTACTCCTTGATTTTGTAACATCTAAGGTGATTCTATTTCAGATTTGAGTTTTTTCAAATAAGTTGTTTCTATTTGTAGTCTTTATGCATTCAAGACTTAAATGAAGAGATAAATTAAATGTTTTATTAGAACCCAAAGAGTCATCTAAATACTCATTGGTTGTATGCTTGCATTCACTCTTTGATTTTGTAACATCCAAGGTGATTTAATTTCTCCTTGGTCTTGGTGTCAAAAGTAATATGGAGGGAGTATAACTCATCTTTTTTTTTCTCGTTTTTTTCTTTGCGATGGCCCCTTTCTCGCATTTCTATGAGGTTTCATTGATTTGCATTGCGCAACAGGCCAGGGTGAAGCCAGCTGACTAGCCGATAATATCATTGGCGTCAACTCCATTACATGACTTGATACGGTGAACCTTGAATAAAAAATACTATTACTCTCTCCATCTATTTTGATAGGCATATTTCATTCCAACCACCTATTCTCTTAATGACTTTCTCGGATTTAATACGTGACTCTCCATTCTTCCACACAAGATTGGCTACATGGACATCGAGAAATGTAAATATTAATAAATCGCTTGTTTAGTAGAAATAACTAGTAGTATGTTTAAATTGATGATAAGTATCAAAATAAATACTTATGGATGGAGGGAGTATTTACTATAGAGGACTATCGAGATGAAATATGACTATCAAAATAGATGGAGGGACTCCCTCCCTACTGGTAAATGAAGTTGTTTAGGACAATATTTAAGTCAAACCTTGGGAATATAAATCATGAATAACTTTCGAGTTGTTGAGTTTGAAAATGTAAAAAATATATAAATAGATTTGTCTTGAAAAATACTTTCATAAAAGTATACATATATCACTTTTCAATAAATATTTTTATAGAAACAAGAAGTTAAAGTTGTGTTTTAAAGACCGTGTCGCTGCTTAAAACGACTTTCTTTACGATTTACGAGTACGGAGGGAGTATTTACTATAGAGGACTTTGAATTTCATCGGGATCGGCTGACCTCGATGATCATTACTAGATCCTGTCACGCAAGCCCTATGGCATTTGTTACCGAATTTTTTTATTTTTTAAGACCTTTTTATGTTTTGATTTTTTAGTAGACTACTTCAAAAAATATTTTCATAAACCGAAACTTTTGGCCACCAAAAAGCCGAGTGGCTGGCGTAACAAGTTGTTTGGCCACGCCGGCCACAGTGGCGTGGCAAGAGAGGATGGTGTAGAAGGCCAGCATTATCACGTAGCGCGCAGTCAAAAGGTTCAGATTTGAAAATATTTTTTAAAAGGAAAAGGTACAAATTATCCATCCGAACTAACGCGGTCGTCCGAATTACCCCTCTAAACCTGAAAAACAGACATCATTCACCCTCAACTTTCAATACATGACAAATTACCCCCATCGACCCAATCCAAAGCGGTTTTGTCCTACGTAGCGTACACATGGCAGTCCAGTCAGCATTTTATTTATTAAAAAATATGGGACCCACCTGTCATGCTCCCCCCTCTCTTCTCTCTCACTCTTCCTATCGCTTTCTCGCCAGTCGGCGGCAGGCGGGGGACGCAGCGACGGTGGCGTGGGACGAGGAGGCGGCGGCCGCGGCCACGACGAGCAGCCGCCCCCTCGGCGCGGACCCCCTTGCCCTCCACGTCGCCGCCTCCCCCTCCCTCGCCGACGTGTCCACCGCCGCTGCCACCACCACCACCACTCCCCACCTCGCCGCGTGCCCCCGTGACCTCCTCCTTGATCCCCCGCCTGTTTATACTCATCTCGTCACCCGCCTCATCATCAACAGCAGCAGCAGCAAAAGAAGAAGAAGAAAAAAGAGTGATCCAGCTAGCTCGCCTGAGTTCATCTGCTGTGTAATTTGAGTAATTAGCAACAATGGCGGCTGCTACCATGGCGCTGAGCTCCTCCTTCGCCGCCGCCGCCGCTGTTGGTGCGCCATGGCGTGGTGTCGTCGGCGCCGGCCGCGCCGCGGTTGGCTTCCCGCCTCGCCGGCGTGCTGTCACGCTCGTCGTCAGGGCCCAGGCCGAGGTGAGCTGAGCGTTCTTGATTGGTTTCACTGTGCCTGTTCTGGTGATTTGCTTCGTGTGCTAACTTGGGGCGACTTCATTGTCGTCGTTCGATCGATCTGCAGCCGGAGGTGGAGCCGACGAAGGAGGAGACGATCACGTCGACTCCGAGCCCCGTGGCGGCAGCGCCCAAGGCGAAGCCGGCGGCGAGCACGGGGCTGTGGGACGTGCTGGCGTTCAGCGGGCCGGCAACGGAGCGGATCAACGGGCGGCTGGCGATGGTGGGGTTCGTGCCGGTGCTCGCCGTGGAGGCGTCGCGTGACGGTGAGCTCTTGGAGGAGGCCACCAGCAGGGGCGGGCTCGCGTGGTTCGCCGCCACCGCCGCCGTTCGTCCGTCCCGCCCGCCGCGCAGCCGCTTCCGCGTCCCCCGCCGCCGCCGCCTCTGTCCGTCTCCGCGCCGAGGGGGCGGCTGCTCGTTGTGGTCGCCGCCTCCGTCTCTGCGTCCCGTGCCGCCACCCGCACCCGCCTCCATCCGTCCCCGCGCTGAGGGGTGCCGGTTCGTCGTGGCCGCGGCCGCCACCGCCGCCTCGTCGCCCGCCGCCGCAGCCGCTGCGTCCCCCGTCTGTGCCGACCGGCGATAAAGTGAGAGGAAGAGTGAGAGAGAGAGAGAGTGAGAGAGAAGAGAGAGGAAGAGAGAGAGAGGAGTATGACATGTGAGTCCCACATTTTTTTATAAATAACATGCTGACTGGACTGCCACGCATACGCCACGTAGGACAAAACCGCTCTGGATTGGGTCGAGGGGGGTAATTTGTCCGGTATTAAAAGTTTGAGGGTGAATGACGTCTGGTTTTCGGGTTTAGGGGGTAATTCGGACGGCCGCGATAGTTCGGGGTAATTCGTATTTTTTCCTTTCTAAAATGATCTATTAATAAAATTAAAATATAAAAAGGTGTAAAAAATAAAAAAAAATCTTGGTTACCCTCGTAAACTTCCAATATTTGGCATATATTATCCCGTTCCATCCTATCTAGCCAGAAATACTTTTTTTTTTAAAAAAAAGGGAAGTACTACTTGTACAAGTAGATTCTCTTTTAAAAATATCCATATATATAATTTGACAGTGACGTAAACTAAAAGATTTGTAGGATTAATTTCCCTCTTACGTACATCTACGCATTTCGCTTTTGTACAAATGATTTAGATTTAAAAACCATAAACAAAATGTACCAGTACACCGAGCACTTGCACCACAAGTCCACAACTAACCGGGCACAGTAGTTGTCATCTTTTTCTTAAACAAAGCTAAATTAACTTCTTTTTTTCTTTGAACAATTTAGAATAAAGCTATTTCTAACTTCAAAAACAAAATGTTTTGGTTGTGCGGTTATATGCCATGGCTGTTAGTATGTATTATCACACCATCCAGGATGGTATGGATAACTAAACCTTTATCTCCTTTTTTTTTTAATCAGCTAAACATTTTCTGCCCCACGATTGTTTTTCCACCGTAACGACGCTATTTAGAATTGTGGGTGACAGATGATTTTAATTAGGTCTTTTACGGTGCTTGAAAGGTACCCATGTACCTCTTAACAAATTGTTATCCACTGTTAATCTTTAAAAGGTAATTTAGGAAAAAAAATTATTAACACGGATAGCTTAGTACTCCCTCCTTCCCTAAATGTTTGACACCGTTGACTTTTTTAAATATGTTTGACCATTCGTTTTATTCAAAAACTTTTGTGATATGTGTAAAACTATATGTATACATAAAAGTATATTTAACAATAAATCAAATGATATAAAAAGAATTAACAATTACTTAAATTTTTTGAATAAGACGAACGGTCAAACATTTTTTAAAAAGTCAACGGCGTCAAATATTTTGGGATGGAGGTAGTAATTGCTTAATTTCCACCCCGTCGAGTGCCTAATAAATCGGCCATCCACGATATCATGCAGGTGTCGAGTGGCTCACCTCAATCGATCTTCAGAATATGTACATAGTGATCAAATAGCTAAATTAGGCATAGAAACCAGTAGGGGATCGGATGCGCAGCGCAGGGCATTGTTGATTTGTTTTTGCTGGCAAAATCGATCTTCAGAGCCTGGAATACAACTGCTGGCTGCATGAAGGCCTGACGACAAAGAACGGGCAAGGAACTAGCAGAGCAGACAGCAGCCCGGGGATTCGTGCGGTGGCGGTGACGGCGACCTGCTGCTGCGTACCTCAGCTGCGACCGGCGGGCGCTACGGGCGCGTGCGACGGCGGCGGTATACGGCTGCTGCTTTCGTACGCTACGACCGGAGGGCGTGTACGGCGGCGGCGAGCGGCGGGCGTGTGCGGCCTCGGCGAGCGGCGGGCTTTTACGTAGCGACGATCAGCAGGTAGTTCATGTAGGTTCCTCTCGCATGCGTTCTTATCCTTCCTCGTTTTTTTCTTCCTCCTGCTGAAACGTTTGTAGCTTCTCTCGCTTTTGTTCTTTATCGAAAAATAATTTAATGAAAATCAATTACCATTTTACCCTTCCCCTCTCCATACCTGGTCCACCATTTTAATACCCTTTTAATATCTTTTTTCAGTTATCTTCTCTCTGTCCATTAGATCATTGCTGATCAAGGGTTCTAATTAATTTTAAGCATTGAAGAAGATCTCTCAATTTTATTATATATATATGAGGAGGGCGAGGGTGAGAGCGAGGCTCGGTCCTATTTTTTTTCCCCTTTCATTCGCCCGTTCTGTCCCCATATATTGCACGATAATGATATAACCTCATGCGAATGTATTTACCATCTATCACTCAACAAATTAATCAGCGTTAAGGGGAACCAATCAACTGACGAGTTCCCCGCCACCTTACGATAGATTTTGTGATAAAAATTTTTTCTTAGAATTAGAAAATGTTGGTAGTAACTTATTTTAGGAGATGCACTATCAATAGTTTAGTGGCAAGGGATGTGTAGTTATAATCATAAGGTTCTGTGTTTAATTTCCAACACGCTCAGATTTTTTTTAAAAAAATATTTATAGGAACATCTCTCTCCAAAGCACATATAACATATGGTACATCGTTCAGTTTTACACAGAGACCTTGATTTATGATGGCCAACACACGACATGACCAAAGACTAAACTTTGGAAGCAGTCAACAGCCTAAGTTGGTATAGTCACTATCTCCTTTAACCCGGCCACACGGTCGGGAGATAAGTGGGAACTGGGAAGGATACATCAAGACATTGTCCAAATTAAACATGTTATCACTTTTTTTATAAACTTTTTAAACTTTACTTTTAAAAATAAACCTTCCAAAACTTATTTTCAAGATATAACCTTATAACCACGCTAACAGACTGACACGGCAAAACCATACTACCATACCGGTCTGATTAGCGTGGCAACGTTATTTGGTCATGCTAGTCTAGTTGGCATGGCAATATTATTTGGCTACACCATCCTCTCTGATGTGGTATGACAAATTTTTCACACCCGCTGTGAGTGGCGTGTCAGTGTTGTTTCGTCACGCCAGATGGGTTGGCGTGGCTAAAAGGTTCATATTTTGAAAATATGTTTTGAAAGGGTTCGTTTTTAAAATAAAAAATTTAAAAAATTCAAAAAAAAACTTATCACTGAGTATAAAGGGGCCAAAATGAAATAATAACACTTGATCTATATAATTATCTTTTTTATAATAGAAATCAACTAATCCAATCTCTCAATCAAGAAGTATTCGGCTTGATCGAGTAGATATTTATCATCTGACTTTCTTTTAAGTTTAAGGGCCTCTTTAAGACGCAAGATAAAAAACACAGAAAAAATATAGAAAATAAAGTAGTATATTTGTTTAATCGTAAAGGAATTAGAAATACATGAAACATGAACAGATGTCCTTTGATTACACCACATGAAAAAATGAAGCAAAGGAAAGTTTTCAAGAGGTCTAACCTTCCCGTGAAATAGACCATAGGTATGCAATTGTCTGAAAATTTTTTCATCCATTTCCAATAAATCAAATGGATCTATATTATAAAAAAAGGAACTGAATCCTTAAAAAAATAGCCTTCACTAATCCTTCATTTAAATGGGAGTATTTCTCACGGAGAGGAGGTGGAGGAATTTTTTTTTGGAGGCAAGAGGTGGGGGAATGAAAAGATGTAGAGCAGAACAGCCAAAAGCAAGAATGGTTGTTAAGATTTTGGATTACCTTACACTTTTTTTAGGAAATAAATATTGTAAAGGCCAGATACCCTTTCTTTTTAAGGAAAGTGCACAAACTTTACCTCCAGCTCCAAATATTTTATATAATATTTGGATCGGAGAAAAAGAAGACTGCAAGAAGAAAAGGGCACCGGAATTATTCTGTTTTGTTTATTAACAAGGGTAAAATTAGAACACATATTTCACAAGAAAACACAAAGGATATACACATTTTTGTTATTTTGGACAGAAAATTAAATTATGATATTCAGTGTATAGGACCTAACAAGCGCGACTAGAATCTATGTTATTCCAGTTTCTGTTTCTGTTGGTGACGGTTTGGTAGAAAGCATTCAAGTGATTGTGAAATGGCTATCATGATAATGATTCTTGTGGGGTTGGAAAGCATACTTCTGTAGAGTTAGTATTTTTTAATGTCACATTCACTATTTTCTCCTGATAAAAGATGAAGATATCATCTAAAGAAATATATAAAAAATAGAAAACTTATCATGACCATGTAAATAGTCTGAAAGATGCCCTAATACAATTATAAATGCAAATCTCCACCCAAGATAATTCTTCTACACTAGATTTTATCCAGATAAACTAGATTCTAGTCACACTTTTAACATTTTGTCCTGTTCGGTAGGGAAAGGCGGGCAATTCACTTTATACACTCCAACACTCCCCTCACGCGAGACCCCCTCAAATCTCAAGCGTGGAATATTGGAGTGGGCTGCAATTATTTTATTTAATTGCGCGCCAGCCAGGATTCGAACTCGAGACCTCTAGCTCTGATACCATATTAAATTGCATGCACCAGCCAATTACACCTAAAAGCCTAAGCTGATAAGGAAAGGTGGGCAATTCACTTTATACACTCCAACATAGACACACGAAACGAGAAATCCATTGATGTTTGATTAATTAAGTTCTAATTATTTTTGAACTCATAAAGTAGATAAATTTGATATTTTAAAGCAACTTTTATATATAAAGTTTTCGCACGGAACACACAGTTTAGTACTTTGAAAAACGTGTGAACGAAAACCAAGATAAAATATGTATCTTAATAAGAAAAGAACCGTTTATATGCCAATGATTATTTTCTGGGTATTGTTTGTAATAATGAAGCGTTTGTTCGTTCTGTAACTTGCTCAATGAACTAACTTTTCAGTGACAAATATTTGTAGGTCACGCTGGTCTGAAAAGAAAATTTTTGTCACATCACTGCATTGGCTTGCTAACAAGGCGTCAAATGATCTGAATGTTTCATGCTGAGTGTTATGAATCTGATGCTCTCGGCACCATTAGATTCATAACACGATAATCCTTTTAGCGTTTTTATTTACTAGATTTACTCCATCATAAGTAGAGTATTTTTTTTGTTGTAATAACCTTAGGATACTTGTGTTGCTTACTGCTAAGCTTAGCAGCCGGTTCAACCTGTTTGTAGTTTCAAAACCTGACATATTGGAAATAAAAAAACTGCATATACATCAAAAATCAAAATTAGGAAAAAAAACTTGTGCTCACATCCTCATCACCATTGGCTCAATGATCATCTGTGGC